TTTGGGCTACTTTATGCTTTACCCAGTATAATGGGATAGTCTGTTTTGTGGAATGAGAAAAAGAAATAATAATAATAATAATAATAATAATAATAATAATAATAATAATAATAGCTTGCATATGCACATGCGTAATAGGGTATACAACTGTTTATACTCACACTTGGTGTATTTCTTTCCTTTAGTTGGATAAGTGGGCTTATTATTGATTTGTTTTCTTTTACTATTGGTTGTGCGCGCTGTGCATTGTGCTGCACTGTTAGGTGTCTCTGGTTTATGTAAAGGAAAAGTCATAAAAAATACATATATATATATATATATATATTTATTTGTAATTGTATATATACTGACAGTCGAAGACACTGTTATTTATTTATTTGTTTTCTTCGTCAGCTGTTCGTATTTTTGATTAATTTTTTTTTCTTTTTTTCTGGGAAATATGGGATTTTTTTTGTTTCATGCTGGATACTGTGAGATTTGTCTTTAATTAAACTATGAGTGATGTTGGAGTATTCTTTTTTCGGTGTTACTAATTATTTTTTCGATTGCTCCTCATGTTCTTTTGTCTGAGTGGTTATTGTGTGTTGTGTTCTCCTTTGTTTCTCTTTGTGTGTGTTTCTAATATATTGAGTGTTTGTATTGATTATCTTTGTCTCTTCTTCTTTCTTCTGCATTCAAGTGGGCTATAACTACAAAGTAAATCTTGCTGTCGTGATGATGTGTCGTGTGTTTTGTTTTCTTGCTTTGCTGCTGAGTGTTGTCTCTTTGTGTGTGACAGCTGAGACGGGTTCTGATCCTGCTCTTCTTCCTGATGATGGTCGTTGTACTGAAGGTTCTGGGTCTTCTGATGCTCACCATTGTCGTCGTGGTGGAGGTGGTGGCCCAGATCCTACTACTGGTGGTCCTTCTCGTGGTGAAGATGGAGCTGTTGGTACTTGTCCTGAAGGTGCTGCTGGTGATTCCAGTGACGGTACTTGTAATCGTTCTTCTTCTGCTGGTGGTGTTGCTGCTGGTACTGGCCCTCATCCGCAACCTCCCGCAAGAGACTCTGCATCACTTACACAGGACGTATCTGCTGATCAGGGTGCACGGTTAGCCCAAGATACTCAAAGTGAACCACGTCCTGCAGTAACTGCTGCCGAACCTCCTGCAGGCGTTTCTGGCGACACTGATGCTCCTTCTGGTCCAGCTGCTCCTTCCACTCCATCTTCTTCACCAGGTGAGGGGAGCAGTAGTGAATCTTCAAGTGTTGGTCAAACTGAAAGCGCAACAACATCAACTTCTACTTCTCCCACTAATTCGTCCACAGAGAGTACCGGTGATTCTGATGGTGGAACGACTGAAAACGGCATTACACCTGCAGGGAGTGAGTCAGTAAATAACCCAAGTGATGCAGATAGCACAGATACAACCACCACCACCACCACAACAC